AATCTTCTACCTTAAAACATTGCCCAAAATGACTTTAACCTCACATTTATGCTGTAGGAACTTTTTGGCACCATACTAACGGATAACACTTGGGTATCGTAGTCTTACACTTATTGCCATTAAATATAAGCCTAATCTCAACTTGCATTCTAAAATATCACTCGAATCTTAATTTGTGTCCTTAAAGTTTAAAAGTATTAATTTACTCTTAAAAATTATAAATTTGTATCAATATGTACCAGGGGTTAACTGTCATCTATTTTGCAGTTAAAAAGTTTGGGATGATTATAAATTGTACCTTCAAAGTTTAAATATTTCACATTTATGATTAAAAATAATTTTATCAATTAATATTCGTTAAATACCTCTCAATTGTGTCGTGTCGTGTTATTTTGTGTCATGTCGTATCATTTTCGTATTGTCATCGAGTCAATAAAAAATATTTTTAACATAAAATATTTTTGTGCTAAGTCAATTACGTTGTGTCGTATATTTCAAATTTATGAAATTTTATATAATATTATTTAATATTTTTAAAAATTACCAAAATACCTATTTTTTTGCTCACAATACTCATTAAATAGATATTTTACGTCTACAGTTGTATTATTCATATCTAACTTTAATTTGATTGATCATTCAAAAGATTTGTGTCTAACTGTAGACGAAAAATAGCTATTTAACAAGTATTGTAAGAAAAATATGTACTTTATTTTTTAAAAATTTTAAAAATATTTTTTATTGACTCAAACATGACACAAAAATATTATGACACGATACAATTAAGAGCTATTGAACGAGAATTAATGGATAAAATTATGTTTAGATCATAAATATGAAATATTTAAACTGTAAGGATGCAATTTATAATTAGTTCAAACTTTTTTACGGCAAAATGGATGACAGTTAATTTCAGGTATATATTAATACAAATTTATGTCTTTTAGGGTATAAATTGATAGTTTTAAACTTTAAGGGTATAGGTTGAGATTCAAATAATCAGGGTGCAAGTTGAGATTAACCCTTAAATATATTTATAGCTTCCCAGAATTCCTTGACGAATGAATTTTATGGTAGTGGTTTCACATTTTTGGCAGGAGCTATACCAAAGAGATCGGTAATCTTCGCAATTTGGGAATATTAGGAATGGACTTGAATAGTTTAAGAGGTCACATTCCAGCAACGCTCTTTAACATATCTACCCTACGGGTCATTTCTCTTGTTGACAATTACCTTTCTGGAAATCTTCCATCAAATATAGGCCATGGACTACCCAATCTAGAACTACTTTATTTGGGTTCCAATACTCTTAGTGGAGTTATCCCCAACTCTATTTCCAATGCTTCTAAACTTGCTAAGCTTGATCTCATTTCCAATAGATTCAGTGGCCCAATTCCAAACTCACTTGGTAGTTTAAGACTCCTGGAGTATCTAAACTTGGGAAAGAACAATTTAACTGGTGCATCTTCATCTTCAGAATCAGAACTGAGCTTCTTAACTTCCTTGACAAATTGTAGATATTTGACAGAGTTATGGGTAGTTGAAAATCCTCTAAATGGCACCATTCCAGTTTCCATTGGGAATTTCTCAACTAGTCTTCAAAATTTTGCTGCAAGTAATTGTAAAATCATGGGAAACATTCCTGATGAAATTGGTAATTTGAGCAATTTGCCATACTTGACTCTAAATGGAAATGACTTGACTGGCTTCATTCCGGCCACAGTCCGAGAATTATTGAAGCTTCAGACGTTGAGTCTTGAAGGCAACAGAATTCGAGGATCCATTCCAGAAAACCTATGCAATCTAAAGAACTTGGCTTACTTAGGTTTGAGCAGAAATAATCTCTCAGCTTCAATCCCAGCATGCTTAGGGAATATCACTTCTCTAAGATATCTTCATTTAAGCTCCAACAGATTAACTTCCAGCATACCTGAAAGCCTGTGGGGCCTCAAAGATCTTTTTAAGATCCGATTACAGTCAAATTTCTTAACGGGTCGTATATCCCCAGGAATCAGTAGTTTAAAGGTTGCAACAGTTATAGACCTCTCGTTGAATCAGTTCTCAGGTGATATTCCTAGCAGTAGCACAGTTGGTGGTTTGCAAAACGTTGTTCAACTCTTTTTAGACCACAATAGATTACAAGGATCTATTCCTGAGTCGTTCAGTGGGCTGATAAGCTTGGAATTCTTGGATCTGTCCCATAACAATCTCTCAGGCGTGATACCAAAATCGTTAGAGGCACTCCTATATCTTACATACTTCAATGTTTCTTTCAATAGATTAAGCGGGGAGATTCCCAATGGAGGTCCTTTCATGAACTTCACGAAGGGATCTTTTATGTCGAATGAAGCATTTTGTGGTGCTCCTTGGCTGCAATTCCCGCCATGTGATTCTAATTCTAACCATAGATCAAAGAAAAGGAGAGTGCTTCTAATTGTATTTGTCTTGCTGGGGATTGCATCAATAGTTCTTGCTTTGACCGTTGTATTATTGCTGATAAGAGGTCGAAGAAGGAATCACACACCGACCCAAAATGATCTTTTGTCCAAAATAATGCACGAAAGAATTTCATACCATGAACTTCGAAGAGCAACTGATGGATTTAGTGAAAGCAACTTAATTGGCACAGGAAGTTTTGGCTCAGTTTACAAAGGGATACTTGCAAATGGGACGCCTTTTGCCATTAAGGTATTCAATTTGCAAACAGAAGGTGCATTCAAGAGTTTTGATACTGAATGTGATGTATTACGCAACCTACGCCACCGAAATCTGACTAAAGTCATTAGCAGTTGCTCTAATCTTGATTTCAAAGCCTTAGTGCTCGAGTACATGCCTAATGGGAGTCTCGAAAAGTGGTTGTATTCTCACAACTATTACTTAGACATTACACAGAGATTAGACATAATGATAGATGTGGCATGTGCATTGGAATATCTTCACCATGGTTATTCAACACCTGTTGTACACTGTGATTTGAAGCCCAGCAATGTCTTGCTGGATGTAGATATGGTTGGACACTTGACTGATTTTGGCATTGCAAAGTTATTTGGTGCTGCAGAGAGTCTTGTACAAACCACGACCCTTGGAACATTGGGGTATATCGCACCAGGTGACGCTTTCAGCTTGTAGTTTATATTTACATCTATCCTTTCTTTTGTGTTTTTCAATTTTTTTTTTTTTATGATTTTTGTTTTTCTTTATCAGGTCAAATGTTATAATTTTTGTGGTATGTTATACCTTCCTAACCAGCATCTCAATTCTTTTGATAAATGGATGTAGAGTATGGATCGGAAGGATTAATATCTACAAGGTGTGACGTTTACAGCTATGGTATTATGTTAATGGAAACGTTTTCAAGAAAGAAGCCTACTGATGAAATGTTTGCTGGAGATTTGAGTCTGAAGGGTTGGATAAATGAGACACTGTCAAATGCGATCAGCCAGGTCATAGATGCCAACTTGATTAGACCCGAGGAACCGAACTTAATAACCAAGGTCCAATGTGCATCATCCATCATGGAGTTGGCTTTAAATTGCAGTGTAGAATTACCAGAGGAGAGGATCTACATCAAAGATGTTTTGTCAGCCCTCAAGAAGATCAAACTTCAGTTCATTGCAAATTGTAGAACGGTTTAATGCATCATAAAGGTATCTAAATTACAGTATTTTACACATAATAATTTGGGCTGGGTGGACTTCTTGTAATTATTCTCTCTGTTTCTCTTTTCTGTAGTTCCAACAGTTGAAGGGATTGGTCCCGTGGAAGCGGTTGCAACTTGTATTTAGATTTTATCTTAATAATACATTTTTTATGTGGTCTTATATGCTCTGTACCTTTTCCCTCTGCATGTTGAATGTCTTTCCATTCAACTCCCCCCTAATTATCTGATAAAAAAAAAAACTCCCCCCCCCCTAATTAGCTACAACACCTATTTAGGGTCAACATATAAATATTGTATCTCTATTTTCGTTATATTTTTCTCAATTTGCATATCTATATAATAAAATACAATACAATTCAAATCTCAAAAGATAAACAAAATGATTTTTGTTTTTCGCAATTGAAATCTCTTTAAATTTTATTTTAAAGTTAATTTGATGGCTAATATTAACACCTTAAATTTAATAGAGAAAATAAGCTTATAAGAGTGTATTTGAGATACTTTGTAAAAGTACTTCAAGATTTATAACTACTTATAAATACTTTATAAAAAAATAGTATTTGAAAACGCTCCACCACTACCGCTCCCACCGCCCCACCGCCATCACCATTACCTCCGTCGCCATTATCCCATCACCACCTCTGTCACAGCAACCACCACCTCCACCGCTGTCGTTGCCACCACCACCACTATTGTCACCCCACCACCACCACCACCGCGGCCACCCCACCATTACCATCACCAACACCACCACCGTCGCTGTCGCCGCTACCACGACTATCGCCATCCCACTATTGCCATTCCACTCCCACCACCACTACCAACCCCCACCATCGATTGCTACTATTGTCGTCCACCGTCATCACCCGTTACAATTTTCATCTTATTCTTATATTTACTATTTTTATCACCGTCGCCCATCGTTAACACCTACCACCACCCATTGCCGCTAACTATCACAACCCACCACCACCACCCATCATTGCCCATCATAGTCGTCAGTCACTGTAACCCACCCCCATCGAACTTGCCACCACCAACCACCACTAATCATCATCGCCCACCATTGTCGCTATCCACTGCCACTCACCCCTACCACATCTACCATCACCACCACCGCTATTTACAACAACCCATCACACAGTTGTCCAAAAGTGCCCGTTGTCGTCCATCATCACTGCCCATCACCAACACCCACCATCGTCGTCGCCCCACCACTACCACCCATTATCACCGTTGCCCACAACCACTATCATCATCATCCATTATTGTCACTACCACTATCATCACCAAAAATCCACCACCAACATCACCATTGCCACCTATGTCTGTCACCATCACCATGGTTGTCGCCACTCACCACAACCATCACCGTCTCTCACTACCATTGCTACCACCATTCACCACCACTACAACTGGTGCTTAAATTCTTTTCTTTGCTTTATATTTGTAATTTGATTTTGGGTGTGAATATAAATATATTTATTGTTGATCATTTTTTTTATTATTCTGTGTTTTAAGGCATAGTCAATAACTAGTTTATATAACAAAGTATAATATAATTCAAATCTAAAAAAAAAAAAAAAATGACTTTTGCTTTTCGTGGTTGAAATCTTTTTAAATTTACTTTAAAATTAATCCGATTGCTAATATTAACACCCAAAATTTAATAGGAAAAATAGGCCTTTAAAAGTATGTTTGGAATAACTTTTTAAAAGTTGTTCTAAGACTTGCAACTTTTCAAAAATATTTTTTAAAAAAAGTAGTGTTTAGAACTGAACCATTACCACCACCACCGTCACTCTATTACCACAACTACCCCCACCACCACTGTCGCCACCCCACCACCACCATCCCAACTACCACCACCATCACCGCTGTTGCCACTTAACCACCACCGTCACTGTCCTACCATCACTACCACCTCTTACCGCTCTACCATCACTACCACTGTTGCCACCACCACCACTATCACCACCCTCATCGCCCCACCACCACCATCAACACCACTATTGCCACCCTACCACTACCACCTCCACTGCCCCACCACCACCACCACCACCACCGTTGCTACCACCTCTTCCACAACAACCACCAACACAACTCCACTACCACCACCGTCGTCGTCATCCCACCACTACCCCACCACCACCTTACCACCACTGCCACTGTCCCACCATCACCCATATCACCACCGCCCCACCACCACCATTACCATCTACGTTTGCCAGCATCACAACTGGTCGGCGTCATCCATTACAACCATCACCGTCTTCCACCACCACCATTCGCCCCCCACTACAACTAGTGCTTAAATTTCTTTCTCTTTCCTCAATCTTTGTAATTTGATTTTGGGTGTGAATACAAATATACTTATTTTTGACCATTTTTTATATTACTCCGTACCTTTAGGCGCGGGAAATAACTAGTCTATATAATAAAGTACAATACAATTCAAATCTCAAAAGATAAACAAAATACTTTTGCTATTCACGGTTGAAATCGCTTTAAATTTTAATTTAAAATTAATCTAACGGCTAATATTAACACCACAAATTTAATAGAAAAAATAGGCCACTAAGGTTGTGTTTGAAGTGATTTTTTAAAAGTACTTCAAGGAATTATTTCTCATAAGTATTTTTTAAAAAATAGTGTTTGAAACCGTCCCACCACTACCTCTACCACCCCCACCACCACTATCACCCCCATCACTACCGCCGTCGCTACCATCACTATTGCCCACCCTACCATACCCACCACCCCACCACCACTATCCCCGCCGCTGCCACCACCTTACCACCACCATCACCATTTCCATTGCCCCACCACCACTGTCCACCACTACCACCACCACCACACCATCATCATTATCACTATCACTATTGTCACCACTGTCCCACCACCACCACCACTTCCACTGCCCCATCACCATCATCCCCACCACCATTGCTGTCGCACCCTACCATTATCACTACCGCTGTCGCACCTTACCACCACCACTACTGTCCCACCATCACTCCTACCACATCCACTATCGCCACTACCATACTTCCAGCCCCAGCCCACCCTCACTGCCCCACCGCCACCACAATCACCATTGCCACCCACCACCGATTACTACCATCGTCATCCATGGCCATAACCCACCACCACAATCATCGTCATCTTATTCTTATATTTATTACCATCACCACCGTCAGCACCCACCACTACCCATCATCGCTCACCATCGCCACCAACCACTGTCACCTACCACCACCACCTATCATCGCCCCCCATTATAGCCACCCACTGTCACCTACCACCGTTGTCATTCGCTACCACCCATCACACTATTGCCTAGAAGCACCAATCGTTACCCACCACCACCATCATCACCGCCCACCACCACCGTTGTCGTCCCACCACCACTGTTGCCAACCACCATCACCGTCGTCTACCACCACCCACACCCACCACCACCCATTGCCACCCACGGCTGCCATTACCATCATCGTCACTCAAAACCCACCATCACCATCATCATTGCCACCCACGACTGTTACCACAACATTGTCATTGCCTTATCCACCACAATCATCACCATCTCCCACCATCACTGCTATTACCCACCACCACTACCGTCATCCATGTCCACTACAATCGGTGCTTAAATTTCGTTATCTCTTATCTATATTTCTGATTTGATTTTGAGTGTGAATACAAATATGTTGATAGTTTTTTTTATTACTCCGTGCCTTCAAGTACGGGGAATAACTAGTCTATATAATAAAGTACAATACAATTCAAATTTCAAAATATAAACAAAATGAATTTTATTTTTTGCAGTTGAGATTGTTTTAAAATTTAATTTTAAAGTTAATCAAACGACTAAAATTAACACCCCAAATTTAATAGGAAAAATAGAGTCATAAAAATGTGTTTGAAGTAACTTTTTAAAAGCACTTATAGAACTTATAACTTCTCATAAATATTTTTTTTTTAAAAAGTGTTGTCTGAAATCGCCTCATCACCATCAACACCGCTGCTAACATCACCATCACTGCCACCCCACCACCACAACTACCACCACAACAACCGCCGCCCTACCACTACCATCACCCTCATTATCCCATCACCATCGCCGCCACCATCCCACCACCATCGCAGCCATCACGCCACCACTACCACCATCGCCGTCACCACCCCACCACCACCACCCCACCATCTCTGTTATAACAACCACCACCACTGTTGCCATCGCCGCCACCACTGTCATCACCCCACCACCACCACCACCACACTCATCGCCCCACTACACCCATTACCCCACCACCACCACTGCTGCTGCCATACTTCCACCACCGCCACCTTTTCCACAAAAACAACCACCACTGCCACACCACTACCGTCACTCTATCACAACTTTCCCCCCACTGCCCCACCACTATCATCCCCACTACCACCACCCCCACTACCACTACCACTACCACCGCCATCGCCAGCCTACCACCACCGCCATTGTCCTATCACTACCTCTACCACTATCATCCTCCCTGCCCTATCACCACAACCATCACCACCGCCATTATCCCACCACCACCACCACCGTTATATTGTTTGTATAGTTATTGCCACTACCACCATCACCACTGTTGTTGCTTCTTTACCACCACCGCCCCACCATCATCACCACCACCTCCACCACCGTCATCCCACCACCACAATTACCCCCTCCATCCACCCCCTACTCCATCACCACCATCACCGTTGGCGCCCACCACCACCTCTGTCGTAATAACTACCACCACCACCACTGCCACCATCACTACTGGCACCCCACCGCCATCACCACACCCACCGCCCAACCATCACCATAACCACTACCACCCACCACCACCACTGTTGTTGCCACCCTACCACCACCATCACCACACCCCACCACCATCACTATCGCCACCCCCACCACCATCACTATCGCCACCCCCACCACCA